GCAATTTGCCGCGGAAATCATACCACTAAGAGTTGTTACAAGGGGAAGCCCGGGAGAACCGGGTCAGGGGGTGCGCAGTTTAATAGGCGGAACCCAGGGCAAGGAAATGTTTCTAAAGGGCCCCAGCCCAATCAAGGTGGGTCCGCTTAGTTATTGGTTAAAAAAATATCCCGACAGGGCGGCAGCGGATTTTTTGTTTCGCGGTTTTCGTGATGGTTTTCGAATCCCTGCGCTTGGGCCTCGTTCCCCTGGGTTAGCACCCAATTTGAAATCGGTGGTTGGCTTAGAGGATTTGGTTAAGAAGAAAATAGATAAGGAAGTTAAGGAAGGCAGGGTTTTGGGTCCATTTGTGGTACCCCCCACGCCTCAGTTTCGGGTTTCGCCGCTTGGCGTGGTTCCTAAGAAAGCCATTGGTGAATATCGCCTCATTCATCATTTGTCCTACCCGAGAGGTGGTTCGGTGAATGACGCCATTCCTGATGAGCAGTGTTCGGTTAGTTATACGTCTTTTGACGCAGCTGTTCAATTGGTGCGGCGTTATGGGCCGGGAGCAGAATTGGCGAAGTGCGATATCAAATCGGCCTTCAGGTTGCTCCCGGTTCATCCGGCCGATTTCGAGTTATTAGGATTTCAGTTTCAAGGTCTGTTTTATTTAGATCGGGCGTTGCCGATGGGATGCGCGGTGTCTTGCGCTACGTTTGAGGCCTTCAGTACCTTTCTTGAATGGGCCTTGAAAGAGAAATCGGGACTTAAGGGGGTAGTGCATTATCTCGATGATTTTCTGTTTGTAGGAAAAGGCGGAACAGGGGATTGCGGTGCCCTGTTGCGTGCTTTTCAGCAGTTAGCGGAATTTCTAGGGGTTCCATTAGCCGAGGAAAAGACTGAGGGACCTCTCCAGGTGCTGACATTTTTGGGGATTGAGCTAGATACGGTTAATCAGTTTTCTAGATTGCCAAGAGTTAAGATTGAGGGGTTGCTAGTTATGATAGGGCAATTTCTGCTGCGACGTAAGGCCACCTTGAGGGAGTTCCAGCAGATTATTGGTCATTTAAACTTCGCATGCAAGGTCATTGCGCCTGGGCGGGCCTTTCTGCGGAGGCTATGTGACGCCATTTCAGGCGTGTCCTTGCCTCATCATCATATTAGAGTGACGCAAGAGATAAAGAATGACCTGTGGATTTGGCAGCGGTTCCTGTGCCAATTTAACGGAATTTCGTTTTGGCGACAGGAATTGATGGTTAGAAATGCGTTGCAGGTGGCTTCGGACGCATCGGGTGCAGTTGGCTTTGGAGTTTATTTCGAGGGTCGCTGGTGCGCCGAGAGGTGGCCAGAACATTGGCATTTGTTAGGCATAACGGCAGACTTAACCTTTTTAGAATTTTTTCCTATTTTGGTAGCTGTCACGCTTTGGGCTGACAGGTTTGCCAACGCGACAGTTCATTTTTGGTGTGATAATATGGCCACAGTTCAGGTCATTAATACTCTCACATCTAAGTCGCGCAGGGTTATGGGGGCAATTCGGCAGTTTGTTTTACACTGTCTTAAGTTTAATATACTTTTTAGGGCATTCCACGTTGCGGGTATCAATAATGATTTGGCTGACGCTCTGTCTCGCATGCAGATGGAGCGCTTCAGGCTGTTGGCACCCGGCGCGGACCTTGGGGCAGAGACCATGCCAGACCATCTCTGGAAGGTTGGAGCGACGAGACAGCTTTAGGTATGCGCTTAGCGTTAGCACCCAGCTCTAGGAAATCGTATCATAGGGCAGTGCAGGAGTTTGTTGAATTTAGGCAGCACTATGGCTTGCCCGAAGTTCTGCCAGTGCCTTACGAGCACTTGGCGCAGTTTTGTGTATACCATAAGAGGAGGGGATTGGCGCCCCAGTCTATCAGGTCAAAGTTATCAGCGTTAGCTTTTTGGTTTAAGGCTCAGGGCCTTAGCGACGTTACTGATGACTTTCGCCTGCATAAAATTCTGGCGGGTTGGTCTAGACAGTGTGGGCATCTCGGTGATGCCCGGGAACCAATGACACCAGCTATTCTTAGAGGAATTAAACAGTTATGGGGCGGTTTGTGCTCTTCCTATTATGAGCAGGTTTTGTATCATGCGGCAGCTTTGACTGCATTTTTCGGAGCCTTGCGGGTGAGTGAATTGGTGGCATTATCCAAAAGTGATACCTCACACCGAGCGCTCTTGGTTTCCGACATTTCTATTTTTGCTGAGAGCTTGGTGGTTAAGATTAGGGCTTCCAAAACTGATCAGGGGGCAAAGGGTCAAGTGATTAGGCTGCAAAGATGTGGGGAAGAGGACCTGTGTCCAGTGAGGGCCATGATGCAGTTTGCGGCTCTCAGGGGCAGTGAGAAAGGTTACTTGTTTCGGCATTTGGATGGTAAACCGCTGACTAAGTACCAGTTTTGGGCCATTACGGCCAAGGCCTTAGACCTCTTGGGATTGGGTCATCTTAAATTCGGGACCCACTCCTTCAGGATTGGCGCTGCCACGGCGGCAGCTGCAATGGGTTATGGAATCGATGAAATCAAATCGATAGGTAGATGGAGGTCAGGCGCGTTTAAAAGTTACGTGCGGTCAGTTTCATCATAGTACTATTATCATTACAGGTCTGTCTGGGCTGGCACATAGAAGAAGGGTCCTGATATGCGGACATAGTTACGTCTTATGGGCAGCGAGACAAGCCCAGAGGACTGCCTATGGCCAGCACTTGGGTCTCGCTTCCACGGCGGCGGTGGAATGGAAAGGCATGCGAGGCCTACGTTGGGACGGTTTGTGCCCATTGTTGTTTAATGCCGGGAGTGTGTTGCCTCCTGATGTGTTAGTTATCCACCTTGGTGGTAACGATTTGGGCCTGTTAACAGGCAAAGCCCTCTTTTTACAGGCACGAGCTGATATTCGAAAGATTTGGTGGACATGGCCTCGGGTGCACGTCGTTTGGTCCGCTATTATACCTCGTCGCAAGTGGCTAGGTGGAGGCGACGTGGGGAGGCTGGAAAAAGCCAGGAAGCGAGTGAACCGGGCCATGCGTCTATTCATGATCTGTCAGAGAGGGCATTACATCGAGCATCCAAACATCACACGTTTTGAGGAAGAGTTATATCGGGGGGATGGGATTCATCTTTCAGAGTTGGGCAACCAA